AAAAATAACCTTAAACGTGGTGAGCATGGAGATTGTTGAGAAGAAGTGAAATACAAATGAAATAGATGCGCACCATGTTTAAGGTTATTTTTTGCTTTTTGAAAACGTGGTTTTTTAGATTAATTTTTTAATCTACTATAATTATTTACAGATGTCAACATTTCAATGAACTGTACAGCAGTATACTGTTCAATGCTCCTAATGTACTTATTGGGTTGAAAATATATTCACTGAATCAACTTCAAATGGCAAAGAAACATTTTTATTCTTGGAATTCTGAAGGAATATTTCTTTCATAAAACACCAATGAAAAATTATACAATATAAGTCTATGGGGAAACAAGACTTGACTTAGGGACTATCCAACTTAGGGAAACTCTTGATGCCCAAGAGTTGGGTTGGGTGGGGACGGGGTTTGGATGCAGGAGTCTTGGTTGTGCCTTGTGAATGCTGAAAAGCGGCAAATAAAGTGTTCTGTTCATTCATTCATTCATTGATGCCCCAATTACGTCCGCATCTCTGGGTCTCACTGTAATTGAGATTGCAGCCAAGTGGGACAACCCTCATGGTGAAGTAAAATTGAATATGAAGGTGCTGTCACCAAAAATGGTGCAAAAAGGCGCAGAATTTGGAAATAAAACACTTCAATCAGGTGTGGGGTTCACCTGGGGATCTTGTTTACAAGATCCCAAAGAAACAGATAAAGTATATTCCATTTTACCCCAAGCACAAAAATGGACCTTTTCACAAATTCAGACGCACAGTAAAAACAATCCTTCTGATAAAAATTGTGCACCACACACACTGTCATGACATGGCGGCGAGTTGGAAGCTGCTGAAAACATGCGGAAGGTCTCGAATGTTCTGGATTAATCAAGTAACATCTCTTACAAATTTCTGGTACAGCGTGGCGGTACTTCAATGTACCGAATTATTCCGCCACAGATGCTGCAATGGCTTACCAATAGCTCACATATAACATAAGTATGTATCATACCCCATTCCTTCTGCCTCGTACATAATATGATCTCTTGCCTAATTCATATTTGCTCACTGGTGTGTTTTTCAGGTATTCATACGATCCTTTTATGCAGTCTCCCAACGACAACCCCGAGTCAGAATTGCCGCTCACAGCTGGGGATTATGTTCTTGTCTGGGGCGACGTCGATGAGGTAAGCAGAGAATTGCGTCCTATATTGTTAATATACTGTACGGTACTTGAGTAATGAGTGAGTAACTTAGTGGAACCTTGTCTTGCATTTAGTCATTAACCCCCTTTTCGTCGCACTTAATCCTCAGATTCTATATGTGGCCAATTATCCTTAAAGCTAACGGCACGCTATTCTGCTCACTTGTCTGAGAACGCTGACGGCATCAGGGGCAATAAAATGGCATTTTTTTTTCAACGAAAGGACCACATTTCTTCCAGTATAGATATAAGCATACATGTCAGTGCTGTGTAAGTCTTTGGAGTAACTTGAGTGTTTGACACTTGAAATCTTGGGTCTCCTCATATTGTCGAAAGAAAATGCGACGAGACTTCCCCCCTTTATTCCATTGTGAAAACATTTTTCAAATGGTGAAGCAAATTCAATTTTTACATTTTTTTGGAGGGAAATGGTTTCAAGGAAGCTATTAAAAAAAATTAAAAGATTGTCAAGTGTCTTAACAAAGCAGATGACTCGGACTCTCTCGGAGTGACAGTTGATTAGTGAAAACGGTCTTAAAAATTTGTCTGAAATTCGGTGCTTTATTGCGAGGACAAATGTTTTAGAGTTAGTGGGTATATACCGTATTTACTCCAGTACCACCCCCACCTTTTTTCTCGAATTCCATAAGAAAAAAAGGGGTGCGCGTCATAAGGGGGTACAAATTTTTCAAGAAGTTTGAGAAAGTTCTATGTGCATTATACATAATCTTAATGACAAAATTTGGAAAAAAGTGACAAGAAAACTTTTTTGCTCTGAAAAAGTTGAAAATTGGTCAGATTTTTGTTAAATTCATGTCTAAAGTCAAACTTTTTGTGTCTATTTTTGAAATTTTGTGGTTTAGATTTACTAAAAATTGGGGTGCAAGTCATACTCGGGGATAAGATTTTAGCCAAATTTCCAACTGAAAAAACCCTGTGCGCGCCTTACTTGAGGTTGCGTGGTACTCGAGAAAATATGGTAGATGTTGCTGCATGTCACAAATGCATACAATTGCACAACTGATGTAAATGCGTACACTTTTTTCCTCTCCCTGATAATCAAAGAGTAAAAATATCAAGGATAAAAATTGCAGCATGAGGCAATTACTGAACCCAAATCAAAGCACAAGGTGGTCATCCTGCTCCCAGATAAGTTTTAGTTGATTAAGCAATTTGAGGAGAATCTTTGATTGACAATCTTTGACCTAACCTAACTTTACCTAACCACCTCCCAAAATCAGTTTCAGCAGAATGCGGAAAAATGAAATTCACAGTTTCTGGTAGGTGCACAGAAAGTAGGTACTGAGATAACAGGAAAGTACTGGATTTTTTTGGGGAGCAGCACACTTCAGTTTGACCCAAGGTCACCAATGAATTGCTCCAGGATTGAGAAGACCTAAGTTGGGAAAAATCCAGGAGGTAAATTTTCTATTGTTTTTAGGATGCTCCCATGCAAATCCTATGACAGTAATGCTGGAAAAATTGCCAACCAGCAAGGGATTTTTTTTTAATTTTTTATTCAAAATTTTCTGCAGGATTAGAAAAAAATACTGTATTTGGCTTTTTCCTGACTTAATCCTTGATACATACATAGGATTTTCAAATTGTCTGTGCTTAGTGGCACAAAAGTTTGCAAAAATATCCCAACTTGACTGCACAAGGGTTAAGCTCATTCCTGTAGCTGTGGAATTCAGACTTTCTTGGCACTTTGACAGGGGCACTGATGAAAAACAGATTCATTTGAAGCATTAATTAGTTTTAATAGGATATGCTGTTCAGTATTGAGATTTTACTGTATGAAGCAATTGGTACAACAGAACACTTGGGACCTTTAAAAACTTTTTTGTAAACACAAATGCGTTAAAATGAAATTAAAATAACATTTTGGCTGTTGTATGATGAACAGCAGGGTGAACGAGAAAACAGATTCATTTTAAGCATTAATTTGTTGAAACAATATTCATTGTAATGAGATTCTACTGTATCAAGAAATCACCATCTCAGTACTGTTACTATATCCCAAAGTAATTTTTTTTAGTATTTTTAAAAGAATATATTTATTTATTAAAAGAAATTGGTTATTTATTTTAAAAAACTTATAATATTTGTAAGTATTTCTTTGATTCCTTTTTTATTTTTTTCTAAGAGCTTTTCAAATATTTTATTTCATCCTACCCATTCACAACAGGACGGATTTTTCGACGGCGAATTGCTGACTGGTAGACGGGGTTCGGTGCCTTCGAACTTCGTGGAACGGGTAACCGGGAATGAACTCTGTGGTTTGCACAAGGCTCTCTTGGCCGGTGTCATGGACGCCGCCATGGATGATGCCACCATCAACAACAAGTCCGCCCTGACGAACGGGCTCGTGAGATCGACACTCTCTTCCGACGCCCTGTCTGATTTCGAACAAATGCTGGATGACGAGATCGACGCCGACGATGACGAAGTATCTGATGGTGAGATCCACTTGCTGTTATATACATCCCAAAACGGATATGAAAAGAAAAATCTAGATCTTAAATGCAAACTACACTTAGTAAGATATGTTCAGTAATACTCTTGAAAAAAATGGAGGCTTCTGATGCTGTCTAAAAAAGTCAACCTGTTCCAAGAAAACGTTTATTGGATGGAAAGAATGTGAGCTGAATTTTATTTTTTTTCAAGAAAAACACTATTGCTTTCTAAAAGGACAATTTGGGGTCAAATTCTGCTAGCTGAAATGGTGTTAATTATTATAACGCCAGGGTGGATACATTATAGAGAAAATGTTTGTAATCTGAAATATTTGTCGCAGTGGCATTTCATAGCCAAGACCCCACTGCTGTATTAATATAATTTCCACCTTTTCATATTTAAAATTTAACCTTCCCTCTAAAGTCTTGGAATTCAACTTGTCAAACTTCTGACCCTATATACAGTTGAGATTCATCATTAGGAGGATTACTCATTTGGGGAAGATTGGGATCCATTTTAGACCTTGGTTGGAAAAGTTGTACTTTTTAAAGAGACAAATTTCCCCTGCTATGGGGACTGATTGAAAAGAAAATACACCTGTACTATATGTGGAAGGAAAAGTCAGGAACATATCTCAGATTTTTTTTAAACTCAGAAAATTTTATTTCAGAAAGAAAAATGATTTTCCTTATTGAGGTAGTTTCTTTTTATAATCCCCTGACCTGGGCTGGTTTTCCCCCACCCACTGCATTTCAAGGATCTTGGATCTTTACTTTTAAGCTTGAAAAGTGAGCATCCAAGTGGTCAAAACAAAAGAGACAGACTTGAAAAATTGAAATAACTGACTCATTATCCTCATACTTCCTGGATTTTCTTACCCCTGGGCGAAATCGAATAAAATAGATCTTGCAAGAAAAATCCCAACTTTTTTAGAGATGGAGAAGACATTATTGCCACCGAAGGGTTAAATTGAGTCACACTGCTGAACTACAGTATTTTTGTTATTTCCTTCTGTCATTGGGGGTAAGGAAAACCTGTGTGAGATACATACTGTATTATGATAGACAAGAAATGACTCAATGATGCTTTGGAACAATTTAATCATCTGGATCAACATCTCATCAATGAGTAACTTCAGAAGGGTGTTTGTCTATACTTGCTTTACAAACAAAGCATATTCAATCTCCATAGCCCATCAATATTACCCCTATATATTTAAAAAAAAACTATTTTTGAAAATTTGCTCTGATCCATGTTGGGCATATAGAAATATTACAAGGTGGACAGAAACACAGTGAACTGAATTTTGGGAATGTGTACACACCCTTTTGAAGGAAGCATGAAGTTTGCTGGTAAAATTACTGGGCCACATTTATGGCTAAAAAAAAAAAGCTCTGGAGAACAGCATCTTTGTGCTGGAGGGATTTGGCTGGCAATTTTATTTTAAAAGTTTTTATTCAAATAGTTTTTGTGTCCATGCTGTGGCACTTGGAACCATAAAACCAAGTTCCATTTGAAAGGGAATTGAGCAAGCTTTCATTTATAATAGTGTTCTTTTTCATTGCTGCTTTTTTTCTTTGTGAGTAAAAAATTGGTTCACTTTTTTGGCCTACCCTTTATATCTTATTTTTTTAAAGAAAGAGGTGCAGCATAATCAATTACTCACAAGAAGGTTGTTCCACATTTTGTTGCGGCGACCCTTGTGTTATAGTAACCTTCGAAAAATACTCTACCATGAATGTTTCATTGATTGACTTGTTTTTTTTTCACCTTCAGTTCCTGCACCAAGAATGTTGGTGGTTGAGCGACAGTTGAGCAACAGTGTTTTGATCGCTTGGGCGGCTCCAGCAGCGACTGATTCAAGGTCTGTCGATTGTTACCGAGTGTTTGTGGACGGTGATTTGCAGCTGACGATTGGTGCTAATGAAAGACTCAAAGCCCTTCTTGAAGGCATTGATCCAGCGAGAGTGAGTTTTATTTTCCCACAATTTTTGTTTGTTTGTGTACTGTATAGTATCTTATTTCTTAATCTTTCTTATTATCTCGCTTCTGGCCTCTTTGTACATTGCTTACTGGCTCTGTGACAACAGGAAAGGTGAGTTGTGCTGGAATCCTTGAATCATGGCTTTTTCAAACTTTAAAGGGAAAGAACAATAGGTAATTGGCAACATTTCATATGAGATAGAGTATGTGCTTGAATACTTGAAAATGTATCACATTTCTTTTATAATTATGGCCTCAGACAAATGACAAGAGTGGTTTTCATTGAATATGCATTATGAAAGACCTAAATATATACAGTACAGATCAGTTGAGCTTTAAAGAAGCTTTGTCTGAATTGAAAAATCACTATACAGTACTGCACTTAAATGTTGATCAGAATTTTAGGTTTTGACTCATCACACCAAAACATTTTGTGACTTGTTCCATTCATGGAACCCATCATGAGCCAATTTTGAAGAATGCCTTGCAGAAGACCCTGCATGTCACCTACTTCCCTTCCCTATACTCATCAGCCTGGGAATCATGGGGTGTTGGGCAATTGCCTCAGACCATCATGAACTAGTTTAGGACTAGTTCTCTCCGACTCCCTGACTGTTTTCTGGGCTGACGACTTTAATTTCAATTTTTATGAACACTGGCCTTTTCTGCTGTTTGCAAGGTACACACAATAGGGTCCACTATCCAAAGCACAATTTTGGTTGCATATTCATAATCACAGAAGTTGAAAAAAGAATTTCTTATTAAATTTACTCAAATGTATAATCCAAGAATGAGTTAATTTTGTCCTTTTTGGAGTATTCTTTGTCAGCTGTGCACAGTATTACCATTTTTTTTACTTCTTTCACTTTTCAAGGTTCTACAATACAGTACAGTATTATGTATTTTCAAGTTGAATCTAATGAAGAGACCCTTTCTGAAATCTTGAAGGATCAAGATAAACTGTTGACCTTGTATGATTTCTCAACAAAGATTCTCTCTAAATTGTACATTCAACTAAACCTCATACAGAAACAAGCTGAAGACTTTGTGCTTTAAATTAATTTTTACATATATTTTGTTTTCCATGTCAAGGAATGAATGGGTGTATGCATACATGTCAGACCAGTTTTATTTTGTGGTTTGTATTTTCTTTTCTTTTTGTTATCAATGTGTGCTCTGTTTCCTGCTCTGAAGTGATTAAATGTCTTTGAGTGGATTTGGTTGGGTGGCAAGTGGGTTTTGATGTGGAAATCTTGATAGAACCTTGTGAACGCTGAAAAGCAGCAAATAAAGTTTTCTGTTCATTCAAGCTGAGAACACGCATTTTTGTTGATTTGTGGGGGATTTTTCCCTAATTTTTGACAAACTGGAGAACCAATTAAATAAGTTTCAATTGAACTGTATGGGAAAACATGATTCAACCTGCAGATGTTCTGGCACAGGGATAAGGTCCAAGCACCAATTACGTCTGCACCTGGGGGTCTCACTGTATTCCATGAAAAGTTCATTATCCGGAGTACCAAGCTGCACAATAGCGGCAGTGCAATATTTTTCAAAGCCGGTGTTTTTTTTAATTTTTCTTCCAGTCGCACCGAATCAGCATCAGGTCTGTGTCACTGTCGAAAATGTCGACAGAGGCGTCGTGCACGATGCTCGTTGGTCGACGAGTGACGTCAGTGCCGTCTCGGATCCGCGTGTCGGATGTGACGAGCGCCTCAGCACTCGTCACTTGGCTCCCTGCCAACAGCAACTTCTCGCACGTCGTTCGTGTCAACAACGTCGAGGTCGGCACTGTCAAGCCCGGCATTTATCGACACCCGGTGTCCGGCCTGGCCCAAAACACCGACTACACTGTCAGTGTGCGGGCCAAGCACGAGACGGCGGTGGGTGAAGAGGCCCGAGGCGGAAGTGACGACACCGGATGTCCGGTGGCCAGCATCTCTTTCGTCACCTTACCGAAAGGCAGGTTTTCTCCTTCCTGCGTTTTTTTTCAAGATCAACTTCTTCTTCCTCTACTTGTTCATTTTTTTCAAAAGGCCAAAAGTAAGTAAGTAATTCTGATAGGAATAAGAAGATTAAAAAAGAGAATATCCCGAATGAATGTGGGGGATTCTTGCTGTCGGATTCCGTGCAGTGGTTTAATAAGAGGAGAAAGTCATGAAAAATTTTAATGATTGGATCAAAGTTGGAGAAATGAAGCATTCAACAAGCTTTTAATTATTAGATGGTCATCTATCTAAAATTTGTTTCTTGAATAAGTTTCACTTATCTATGTGCTTCAAATGGAAAAAAAAACTTTCATCACATTGCAAAATACTGTACTGTATTTGAAATCAGGAGAAATTTGTTGTTTCTTCACTCATCTCATGCTGTGATCACAAGCTTTTAAGTTACTTATTACAATTCAATAAAAATTGTAAGAATAAGATTCTTACTTTAATTCCTGCTTTGTTTCCTGCTTTGAAGTGATTGAATGTCTTTGAGGGGATTTGGGTTGGGGGGGGAGGGGGTTTGGATGCAGGAGTCTTGGTTGTGCCTTGTGAATGCTGAAAAGCGGCAAATANGTTCAAGCTTTATCCCAAAAATTAACCATGATTTCATAACTTTTTTCCCTCAGAAATGATAAAATAATGTGCATTTGATTTTTATTGGGCTATGGGCTGTCAGAATGCGCATGACAAAATGAATCAACGTCAAAATGGCTGAGACAAGCACTTCATAAACGCTTATTCATTTGTAACATGTGTGTTACCAATTCACAACTGGTAAACACAATTCAAAGTCATTTTTTCATGCTTTTATATGGACATGCATGTTCAGCACTGTAACTTCAATGTGGCAATTGAGTGTGAATTTATCACACTGCCAAAAAAAAAGGAAAAAACTGGATGTACATTCCTTTTGTGCTTTTCTGTGCACATTTTTGAAGCATCTCACGATTTAGACTGCCTTCTAATGGCACTCCCAAGGGATTAACATTTTCTGACAAAAGGATAAAATTAAAAGAATACCTGAAGTCAATTTCAAACCAAGAGTTGGCAATGTTCTTTACATTTAAACCCTATTTTTTCTCAATTATGCAGATTTCTACAATGTTTCAAATACAATTTTTGGTCTTTGAGAGGCCTGCTTCACCTTTTGAAGAAAGACACAGTGATCCAGAGGGTTTATATATACAGTTGGATCTCAATGAATTTAACCTCCCTAAGTTGAGAACCAAATTGTTTCATAATTATCAGCTTCTGTCTAAATTTCCATAAGAGTAGTCTATTATATTAACCCTCTTTCATCCAAAGACTAGCCCCACTTGAACCACTATAACTCAAATTTCTGCCTGGAAGCCTTTGGGCTATGATTTTGGGGATCCAGGAAAGAAAAAAAACTTTGAAATTTAACTTGATTGATTGAGAAAAAGTAAGAAGCTAATTTGAAAATTTTACCACTGCCTCCAATAAGTTACATAGTATTTTTTAAATATTTTTTAGTCAAGTTTATCACCAATTTTATTTTCTTGTAATTCTTGATATTTTTGGGGAAAATGCTGGTTTCCCAGATTTCAACTTGAAATTATTCAAGTTGAAAACATTTTTGGTCGTTCAGAGTTTAACTTGTAAGAGGTTCAACTGCAATCAGAAACTCCATTTTGTTTTGATCAGGTGACCATGCTGTTATTGACCTGAGCTTGCTGATGCGTGATGTCAACGTTTCATCGCCAAATGCACCCAAGCAAGTCACAGTCAAGACAAAGTCTAAGGAAGGATTATCTGGAGACTCTGTCCCAGCTCTGTTGACTTTGCCTTTAGTTCTTGCTGCTTCTGTCACTGCCAACGGACGTCTGCGAATTGCTAATTCTGGTTCTTCAAAGGTCAGTTCTTCTCCCAGGAACCAGAATGCGATTTATATTGATAAACAAGTTTGTTCAGGTGTTTTAACACGCGAAAAAGATCCAAATTGTTACAGACACTGCGTTCGAAACCATTTTATTCATCAATTTAAAAATAGAATTCATTCCGAACCGCTCGAATTCGAGATCGTTGATCTACTCCTATGCGACACTCCTGAAACTACGTGTGACGTAGTTGGGAGACTTTACGCGTAGATGTCGCTGTCGTGTTGTATAAAATTCTTCGCATCCGTTTCGCAAGGGTGGTTTGGACCAGTCTTTGGGTGACATGACGGAAAGATCCGAACTTTCTGACATAGCTGAAGAGCCGGAAGAATCTTTGTCGAGTTCGTGCTCTTCATCGCCTTCAATGGATCCGATTGTCAGTCAACAACGAAACGAGGTAGGCATCCATTCTGCGGAAAAACAGGATGTTGAAATAACCACGAAATGACCACTAGTGTTTTTTTTTTTACAAAGAACCTAATTTCCGAGCGTAATTTTGTTTATTATTCGAGAGAGTGTTCGAATGGAATGTGTTTTACAAGTACAGTATGTTAACCGTGTCAGAATCCCCGCATTTCAATTTAAAAAAAAATCATCCTTCAATTTTGAAAGCGTCCAGTCCTCAACTTGATCAACATTTCAGTAGTTCTCAGCCACGTTCTCTAAATTATCACAAAATCATTTTTTTGAACCCCTCGAAATGTAGAAACATGCTTGAAGAAAAAAAATAGTTTTCCTGAAATGAATTTCCAAAAAAATGTTTTAAAATTATTTTTCGTGAAAGCAGCTGATGGTGAGTCATGAAAAATATCAGTTTTCAAATATTCGCACGCCAAAAAACAAAAACCGTTGGTATTCGTTTGCAGATTCCCAGAGATTTATTGTTTTGAAAAATCTTCCAGTTGAATTCATTTTCCAAAAAAAATACCGATTCTCTGCATTTTTGGATATGCTCATGGTTCACTGTTTGATACATTATTATTTGGGGAAACGCGAAAATCGCAAATCTTTAAAAGAATTTTTTTATGAAGAACCCACTGCATTCTCTTGCTATTTGGATATTTTTTTGGATTTTTTGTGCGAGAACCATTCATAATTTTTTTTTACGATATACCTTTTGAATAGGAAGGAAAATTTTCAGGCATATATAATTTTTAAAGAATGATAACTCTTCATCTCTCAGGCTGAAAATGTGACAATAAACTCTTTAAAAAATTGAGTTTCTAAGAAGGGACATTTTTGAATGATTCAAGTTGATAAATTTGGTTATTTGGTTTCCGATTGAAGAATATTTAGAAATACAGTTTAATTATACTGTATGGCTAAAATTGTTATGTGTTAACCCGGATAATCAGAGAACGACTGAATTTTCTTGCTGAATAGTTTCGTTCAATCAACCACGAGTATAAGGAGTAAACGAGGAAACTGACAGATTGCTGAGTGGCCCATCTTCCCGTGCCCTCGCATAAACCATTCCGCAATCGATTGATATATCGATCAATCGATTCATGATCGGATAAACGCATTTTCTTCTCCTTCTCCTCTTTTTTTTGTAGATATTCGAAGCCAATAACCTTCCTTCGCAATCAGCACCGGGCCAGAAATCGTCTTCCGGCAGCGGCGCCTCTTCCTCGCCATCAGCCGCCGCCGCGTTCGGTTCGCCTGACAACGGCGCCGCCAGTGCCGCCGTTTCCACCGAGAATGTGGCGGATTTGAGGCGGACTACTCAACGTAGACTGTTCATTGCCACTTATGACTATGACCCGGCTACACAGTCACCCAATGTGGATTTCTCTGCCGAGTTGCCATTCCACCAGGGAGATTTGATTACGGTGTGTTGAAAACGAAATAAATATTTTTTTTGCCGTGAGGCCCCGAGATGCGGACGTAATTGGTGCGTCAAGAGTGTCCCAAAGTCAAAATGTCCCTAAGTTGAGTCTCATTTTCCCTTAAACTTACACTATATAATTTTTAGTTGATGTTTTACGGTATTTACTCAAGTACCATGTGCACCTTTTTTCTAAAAATTTAGGCATAGAAATAGGGTGCGCATGGTACTTGGGGATACATTTTAGAGAGAAATTCCCAAAACCAGTGCCCCTCACATCCAAGTAAAAAGATTGAAGAAGAAAAGTGTGGTGCCAAGTCTCTTCCTGCATGGGGAATAATGGCTCAATTTCTTTCATCCATTGGAGATGCAATCGGAAGTGAAGGAAGGGGGTAATATTCATCTAATTGAGTAAGCTATCCTATATTGCAAATGCATTCTAAGTGCTTCTGTAGATGAAAAAAAACAGAAAGACAAAATATTCACAAGGAAAAATGAATTTGAAAATGAAACATTTTCACATTTCAACTTGATTTAAAATATTTTGATTTTCAGGAACAACAAAAAACTGGGGTGCACATATTACACAGGAATAGGTTTTTGAACTCATTTCTGGTGGAAAAATGGGGGTGCGTGGTGTAAATGATGCCGCGTGGTACTGGGGTAAATATGGTATATACAAAATGCACACCATAATTCCATGAAAATGAAAATTGTCTCCCAATTTAAACTGATTCA